TCCCACAGGGTCCACTCCACTCCGTATCTAAGGGCAAAGTATGGCACTTATCTCCTGTAACTAAGTGCAAAGGCTTTTCCCTCCATTTTAATCTTCCCCAATCACGCTCCTTTTTACTATTCTTCAAGTCTCTCTCTCTCACTCTCATCACCCCCACCCCCACTGTGGTGTCCCTACTCAGGGCTTATCTCCTCACAGAACTTTCTCTAAGGATTGGGATACACCCACCTCTTTAGAATCCACAGACAACCCACACTTGGCTCATTCCGTTAACTCTACTTTGGCTCCCCTCCCCCTGCCCCTGACTGAGTTCTTTTACTCTCCTTTGAATGAAGATGCAGTTAAGGAGGGAAAACTTTAAACTCTGCAGACAGATTACATTGAGAGTCTTCTATTTACGCTTTTAAAATAATCAAACCTCAGCACCTGGCTGGCTCAGTCAGTAGAGCATGTAATGCTTGATCTCGGTGCTGTGAGTTTGAGCCCTGCTTGGGTGTAGAGATTACTTAAAAAAAATAAATTAAAAAATAATCAAGTCTTTGAGATAAACTCAAGGGTCAAAGACCATACGGTGCTGGAAACAGATCCATGAAGTGAGGTCCACAGCTAAGCAGCATCAGCGTCACCTGGGGGCTTATCAGAAATGCAGAACTATGGGCTCTAGCCCAGACACGCTGGATCAGAATCTAGGCTTTTCACATGACCTCGAGGTGACTCACATGTAAATTAAAGTATGAGAAGACTGGCCTAGTGGGCCAGCAAATGCCTGCCACTAAGAGCCTCCATCAAATGTGCTTCAGAGACCTCTTGGGAACCTCAGACCAGTGATTTTCACCTCTATTGGGCAAAGTTTGGTGTGAAGGTGATTTGGCTCTCACGGCTATCACCCCTTTTGATGGACAGGGTTGATGTAATTGATCTCCTGGCTAGGTGGGTGGCCATCATCCCTCATCATTTTAGGTACAGGTTCATTTCTCTGAAGCTGCAAAAGAGTTTGAAGAGGATAATCTTTCCCAAGATAGGAAGACTGTTCTTCAACCAAGAGTATAGGCAAGGTTATAGCATCTTTGGTAAAGTGGATGCATCATACTAGGTGTTATAAAACATGGTTTCTATCATGTTTCCAACAAAAAATGTTTTCAACAACAAAGGGCCAAAGGACAAGAAGAGTTATAATTTTCATTCTCTTGCTTAGTCAATATTAAGCACCTACTGTATGCCAAGTGCTATTCCAGGTGAGAACAGTAGAAACAAAACAGACAAAATCAATGCCCCAGGGGAGCTTACATTCTAGGGTATGGAGATGGACAGGAAACAAGTGCATAATATGCCATAGGTAGTGATAGTGTTTTAAAGAAAAATAGAGTGGTGGAGACTGCTATTTAAGACGAGTGGTCACAGATGGTACCCCCAATGTGAAGACACTTTGCATACCTGAATGAATCAAGGAAGCACGCCGTCCAGATATTTGTGGGGAGAGAATTCCAAGCAGAGGAAATGGCTAAGACAAAGGCCTGGAGATAGGAACCTGCTTGAAGTATTCAAGGAACAGGGAAACTGCCAAAAAGTGTGGTTGGAGCAGATTAAGCAAGAAAGAGTGGAACCAAATCATGCAGCGTCTTTAAGGAGCTTGGATTTTATGCCAAGTGTGATGGAGCCATTGCAAGGTATTGAGCAGAGAAGTGACCTAATGTGACTGACATTTTATTTTTCTTCCTCTGGCATATACATCTTTATTATTTTAAAATTTAAATCTAAGTTAGTTAACACATAGTGTAATAATGATTTCAGGAGGGGCACCTGGGTGGCTCAGTCGGTTAAGCATCCAACTACCGCTCAGGTCATGATCTCACGGTTCGTGGGTTCGATCCCCGCGTCGGGCTCTGTGCTGACAGCCAGCTCAGAGCCTGGATCCTGTTTCGGATTCTGTATCTCCCTCTCTCTCTGACCCTTCCCTGCTCACGCTGTCTCTCTCTCTCTCTCTCTCTCTCAGAAAAAATAAAACATTTAAAAATTTTAAAAAATGATTTCAGGAATAGAATTTAGTGACTCATCACTTACATATGATACCCACTACTCATCCTGACAAATGCCCTCCTTAATGCCCATACTCCATGTAGCCCATCCCCTCACCCAACACCCCACCAACAACCCTGTTTGTTCTCTGTATTTAAGAGTCTCTAATGGTTTGTCTCCCTCTCTGTTTAAAAAAATTTTTTTTAAATGTTTATTTATTTTTGAAGGAGAAAGAGACAGAGCATGAGCGGGAAGGAGGCAGAGAGAGGGAGACAGAGAATCTGAAGCAGGCTCCAGGCTCTGAGCTGTCAGCACAGAGCCTGATGCAGGGCTCCAATCCAGGAGCTATGGGATCATGACCTGAGCTGACAACAGCTGCTTAACCAACTGAGCCATCCAGGCACCCCTCCCTCTCTGTTTTTATCTTATTTTTGCTTCCCTTCTCCTATGTTCATTTGTTTTGTTTCTTAAATTCCACATATGAGTGAAATCATATGATATTTGTCTTTCCGTGGCCAACATATTTCACTTAGCATAATACACTCTAGTTCCATCCACGTTGTTGCAAATGGCAAGATTTCATTCTTTTTGATCCCTGAGTACATTCCATTGTACCTATATACCACATCTTCTTTATTCATTTGCCGTCAGTCAATGGACATTTGGGCTCTTTCCATACTTTAGTTATTGTCGATTGTGACTGACATTTTAGAAGGCTCTCTCTGGATGCTCTCTGGGGAACAGGCTCTAAGGGGGCAAGAGTGTAAGCAGGGAGGTCCAAGAGGAAGCTGCTGTGGTTGGTTTAGGTTCTGGTGATAATGGTGGTAGCAGTGAGAAAGGGCCCAACAATCTCAATGTCCTTAATAGAGACTATTAGGGATGAGGTGGCCGAGTGCTTAACAAAGACTATTTAAAGGGCCACCTGGGTGGCTCAGTCAGTTAAATGTCCAACTTCGGCCCAGGTCATGATCTCACAGTTTGTGAGTTCAAGCCCCACATCGAGCTCTGTGCTATCAGCAGAGAACCCTCCTCTCTGTTCCTCCCCCGTCTCAAAAATAAATATTGGGGTGCCTGGGTGGCTCAGTCGGTTAAGTATCTGACTCTTATCTTGCGTCAGGTCATGATCTGCGGTTCATGAGTTTGAGTCAGGTTCTGTGCTGACAGCATGGAGCCTGCTTGGAATTCTCTCTCCTTCTCTTTCTGTCCCTACCCCACTCATGCTCACTCACACACTCTCTCTAAAAATAAGTAAACTTAAAAAATAAATAAACATTTGAAAAACAATTTAAAAAGTTTTCGTCAGATGGCTAGAGTGATTTTTTTTTTAATTTGGATGAGAAACTGGCTTAGATGTAGAAAACAAAGAGTAGGAATAATAGTGCTTCTCCGGAATGAACAATGTTAGCATCCCTTGGGAATCAGTGTTATTTAACTTCTCATAAGTGATTAAGAAAAAGGAAAACTGAGAAATATTTTTGGTGCACAAATCATACTCTGCTTCCACATAGTGAAATGTCAAGTCAATAGGGAGCATCTTCTGGAACATTTCTAAAGCTATGTGAGTAGGCTGGAAAGTGGCAGGTGACTTGCCACATGGACAAGTATAAGACAACTCACATAGGGAGACACAATTCTGAACTGCCAGTTACCACCAAAGAAAGGGATCTAGAAGTTGCTGTACATTATTCTTTCGAGATGTCAGCTCTTGTAAAGTCCAAAATGCCAGCAAAAGTTCTGGCCATCCAGAATAAAGACAAAGCCTTGGCTTCAACAAAAACCTCAGGAAACTTCTCCTGGAGCCCATATGCAGTGCTGGTCACTGTATTAGAAGATAAAGAAGAGCCAAAGAACGGCAGCTAAAATGATTAAAAGGCTAGAGGGGCTTTGTTTCTTGGATTAAATGCCCATAAAGTGACTGTCTGAGATGATGAAAGTCTATGAAAGCTTGAAAAATTCATAGAAAGTAAAAATAGCCCCTTTCATACAGTATCATGGTTGCAAACTTTACAGAAGAAGCTTGAAAATGGTGGTAATGTCTACACAGAAAAAGGCCATTGGAGGGCATATGTTTGTAGACAGGGGGTCGTTACATATTCTCCAGTATGTAGGAAGATGTGTTGGAACAGTAAAACAGAAGCGGCGATGGAGGACAAGCAGCCCACCTTTTTTGGGAGGGGACAAAAATTACTTTGGACTAGGGTGTGTTTTCTGCCCACCCCCTTATTCTCCCTGCCCACCCTGACCACGGTAGTATACAACCACAGAAACTCAAAACGAGCAAAAGATACCAAGACATTCAAAGGATTCAAAACGCTATATCAATTCTAGACTAAATCAATTGAGTCAAAACTAGATTGAAAATAAATTCAAGGGTGATAGATTTATAATAGATTAATAAGGGACATTCAAGATATTTGGGGGTTATATCCTTAATCTTTGTGATTCACGCCTTGGGGATATGCTATGCCCTGGCAGGAAATGTTATTTGGTAGTCTGGATTGGATGGATAAAATAAGAACATGTCCTAAACGCTGTCAGTGTCTGGCTTCTCAAAGTCAGAAAGTGGCAGTTAATGAGTGAACCAGGGATTAAATCATTTGAATTTTACCCCCAGAGCAAATCCTTTACTAGTGATCAATTACCGGAGGAATGGAGACTCTCAACGAACCAACCGTTACTCACATGTTGAAGAGTTAGCAACCTTGGGCTATCGGATATGTATTGATCCTCCTTCATACATTAAAAAAAATCAGACTCCAAACGGAACAGGGAAGGGGGGGAGGATAATAACCAGAGTGTCATTGTTTTGGGAGATATTAAAAATGGGCTGCAACCAACACATGGGCCGTTATTTTTAGGTCAAAGATTTATGTATATAAATACATATGCTATTTCTTTCCGAAAAATATTGGGCTCAGGAACCTCATTCCCTCCCGAAAGAAAACAGTACCCTTTCTTCCTTCCCCATCGGCCCCCTTCGTTACCTGCTTCTTCCACTCCCAGGGTTGAGGAACTTTCAGCCCCGCCTCCCGGCTCTTCCAAGCTCCGCCTTCCCGGTCCACCTGTGTGCCCAGTGCCTGATGTCACCTTTCGGCTTCAGCGGCCTGCAGGATTCCGGCTCCCTATTGGTCTGTCTGACCACGGCCTGCTCAGCCCACCAATGGCAGCGGCGCTGGGTGGGAGGGTGCCCACATTCAAGATGGCGCCTCCAGGAGCTGCGAGCGGGTGACCGGCGGCGGGGAAGCGGCCTGGGTTGGCCCTCCGATTACGGGGTCCTGGGGGCATCTCCCCGGGTACCCCCCTGGCCCGCCTACAAGGCCTTCCCCGGCCAGAGCAATGGCCGCCGAGAACAGCAAGCAGTTTTGGAAGAGGAGCGCCAAGCTGCCGGGGAGGTAAGCCCAGGACGCCGAGAGGAAGAGATTGGACCAAACCCTCCAGATCCTAAGCCCTAAATCCCGCGGCCCTGGGGCGCCACCGACCTCGAAAGGCTGGTTTGGGGCCCCTGGGAGCTGGGACTGCCTGGTGGCGGCGGGGCAGCTGTCGGGCAAAGGGAGCGGGCAGCGAGCTTTGGGAATGGCAGGATGTGGGAGCACACTCGGGTCTGGGGTCTGGGGGCGGAAGGGCGCTGCAGCCGGTGCCCTCAGCCGAGGGGTGGCCGGAGTCTGGGCGTAAGGGACAGTGGAGTTGGGTGAGTAGCCAATGTCGGTCCTCGATTTGGAGGGTCATCCCCAAAGCTGTCTCTCACTTTAAATAGAACTCCTTGGGGGGCGAAGGGGGGGGGTGGTCTCTACCACGCACAGGTGGTTGCTTGCATAAGGGATTGCCCCTTCCCATGCTTCCCCAGATCTCTATGTCCGAATCTTTCTCTTGGACTGTCTAAAGAGGTTCTGGTGGGAGCTTGGAATCCTATCCAGGGGGACAGGAAAAGTGAGGAGAATTCTCAAGCTCGACCTTGCTGTATCCTGAGTTGGCCACTTCCCATTTGGAATTATTACAGGGTGACTCGAGAATCGAGGTTGTTTCTTTAGCATTTTCTATGGATTTGTTTAACCCCACGTGACCTCTTCCCCCCCGCGTTGTAATGGTCTTGTGCAAACGCAGAGACTCTTTCATTCTTCAGCAGTTTAGTTGGGGAGCAGACCTTTTAAGCTACTCGACTCCCCTCCCCTTTTTGATGTATATTGAGAGCTTAGCATTTGGTACCTCCATCAGTCTGCTGTTGGTTTATAGTTTCAATTTGTTTTGGGCAGAGCCCTGAGAAGTATAAGGAATGTATATTTCAGTTGGGAATTTAAGATTTCCACCAGCCACAGGCTGTTGGGTGATGAAATACATGTCTGCTTGTGCCCCATATGCTATCTTTCTTAACTGATAAAAGTCTTTTCCTTCAGGGACAGTCCTTTGAATTTGTGTCTATTTGTGGGCTTTTTTTTGTTTGTTTAAATAGCAAGACCCAAATTAGAGTCAGTGGTGGCTATGTAGCAGTCTTATTTTATTTAGGATTCTATTACACATATGGAGAATGGGAATCAGCTTTTAGTAATACAGTATTAGAATAATGCAAGAGAATGCAGAAAAAGATTGATTAAAGTGCCATGGAATTACAATGTTAATATTAATGTTAAAGACTGCTAAGTTTTTAGATAGGCACCACTTCCTGCCAACTGATTCCTTTTCCTTCCTGGTCTAGTGAGCTCTCCAGTGTCACAACGGCTGTTTTCTGGGGTTTTCCATGGTGAGATCATTAAAATTTGACATCCTCAGGTTATCGTCAGAATCAGTGGGAAAACTGTTGAATCAGGAAGCAGTATTTGAGCAGTGGGATATGGCATGGTCTTTTATGCCTGCTGACTGCTGATTGTTACAAACAATTCTTTGCTTTCCATATTTCCTCTTTTGGACTATAGGAGCAGTCAACTTTTTTCACAGCACTGTTTTTGTGCTCTGTAAGTAAGAGGAGTCTTTCCTGTTTCTTCCTTCAAGTTTCAGGCTTCTTTTTTCATTTTGAAGAGGAATAGAGGAGAGAATATTTGAGTTCAGAAGGACCTGAGTTATTATTTGAACTCTCTTACCTGTGTGATCAATGAAAAATGATTTACTCAATCTCTCTAGGCCTCAATTTCCTTATCTCTGATGTGAGGATAAAAATACTTTCCCCAGGGTTACTATCAGGACTAAATTAAACATCCTATTTGTAAAGAACCTAGGACGGTGTTTTTTTAGCACATTATAGTTGCTTAATAAATACTAGTTATGAGGATTGCTGTAATTAGAGCAAGTAAACATTTAAAAGAATGTCTCTCAGATCCATACTCCAGTACTAGGTATTTATTGTTTATCTTAAGGCATTAAAATGTTGGCACAGTTCATAACAGTTTTAGTACCTTGCTGGTTGAAGAGAACCATTGTTTAGCTGTGTGCTTTCAGTGGGGAGCCCTAGCAGCTGCTGGTTTTGGGAGAAAAAGTTTTTTTTTTTTTAGATAGAAAGTGCTTTGATTTTAGGAAAAGACTAGGGCATTTTCCCAAGAACAGAACTTTTGCATTTGTACTCTCTCAGTGTTAGTGAAGAACTTTCTCCTTGGTGGAGAAATGACATCAACAACTTTTTAAGTCCATGGCAACCTAGAAGTGAAAGTAGATTTCTCTGCAAATTGAAAGGTAAACATTCAAAGTGGTGGCAGTTACTTTCAGTTTCTTTGATCATGATCTAGCAACCTTAATGACAACAAATAGAAATTTTATTTAGTAAATTAGCCTAAGCTCAAAATGAATGAAACATCCTTTTTCAAAATAACATCGTTTTAAAAAATAGCTTTGTTGAGATATAATTCACGTGCTATAAAAATGCACCCTTTTAAAGTGTACAATTTAGTGGTATTTAGTATATTCATTTAAAGTGTCACCACCAATTTCAGTACATTTTCATCACCCCACAAAGAAACCTTGTATTCATCCCCTCACCTCAGCCCCTGGTACCCACTAATCTTTCTGTTTCTATGGATTTACCTTTTCTGGACATTTCATATAAATGGAATAATGTGAGGGGCGTCTGGTGGCTCAGTTGGTTAAGCGTCCAGCTCTTGATTTCAGCTCAGGTCATGATCTCACAGTTTGTGAGTTCAAACCCTGTGTCTGCCAGCACAGAGCCACGTGGTATTCTCTCTCTCCCTCTTTCTCTGCCCCTCCCCTGCTCACCCTCTGTCTCTCTCAAAATAAATAAACACTTTAAAAAAAATGGAGTAATGTGAAAAGAGGCCTTTTGTGATTGACTTCTTCTATTAAGCATAATGTTTTCAAGGCTTATCCATGTTGTAGCATGTGTCAATATTTTGTCCCCTTTTATGGCTAAATAATATTCCACTGACTATACCTCATTTTGTGTACCTATTCATCAGTTGATGGCATTTGGGTTGTTTCTACTTTTTGGCTCTTAATAACAATGTTATGAATGTTCCTGTGCAGGTTTTTGTGTGGATGTGGGTTTTCCATTCTCTTAGGTTTAACTAGGAGTAGAATTGCTAGGTTATATGGTAACTGGATGGAATTAAACATCTTTTAAAATTTATTTTATTTATTTATTTTTTAAGTTTATTTTATTTATTTTGAGAAAGAGAGAAATCACCACTGGGGGAAGAGCAGAGAGGGAGAGAAAGAGAGAGAGAAACCTTAAGCAGGCTTCCCACTGTCAGCACAGAGCCTGATGCAAGGCTCGAACTCCCGAACCATGAGATAATGACCTGAGCCAAAATCAAGAGTCGGATGCTTAGCCAACTGAGCTACCAAGGCACCCCTATTTTTTAATATTTTGGGGAGAGAGAGAGAGAGTGCTCAAGCAGGAGAGAGTGGCAGAGGGAGAGAGAGTAAATCTTAAGTAGGCTTCACACTCAGTGCAGAGCGCGACTCAGGGGTCAATCGCATGATCCTGGGATCATGACCTAAGCTGAAATCAAGAGTCGATGCTCAACCTGACTCAGCCATCCAGGCGCTCCTTAAACATCTTTTAAGGTTCTCTCAGTTATAAGAGCCTCATGTCCTTCCTACATCAAATGGTTCTTCTCTAGATGCCTAGAAAGATAGGAGACACTATACCATGTGATTAAGAGATTAGGCTCTGGAAACTTGCAACTAGGATAAATAAGTCCTGGAGATCTCATGTACAACATAGTGATTATAGTAAACAACACTGTATTATAACTTCAAAGTTGCTAAGAGACTGGGTCTTAATTGTTCTCACCACAAAAAAGAAATGATAATTATGTGGCTTGATAGAGGTGTTAGCTAATGCTAAGGTGGTAAACACACTGTACATTTTAAACTTACACAATATTTTATGTCAATTATATCTCAAAAAAAATGCAATTCTAGAACATGACTGCCTGGGTTCAAATCCCAGCTCTGACACTTTCTAGCTTTGTGACCCTGGGCAAGTTACATAACCTTTCTGTGCCTTGATTTCCTTATCTGTAAAATGGGAGAAGAGTACCTACCCCATAAGGCTGTTAGGAGGATTACTGAGATAATGCCTAGGAAGGACTCAGTAACATTAGCTCTGTGAAGATGATAATTGTGATTGTAGTAGCTCCTTTTTAATTTGTTTCTCCCCCACGCTCTAGTTTTTGAAACTGGAATTCAAAATGGGGCTCTTGGGTGGCTCAGTTAAGCGTCTGACTTCGGCCCAGGTCATCATCTTGTGGTCTGTGAGTTCAGGCCCCACTTTGGGCTCTGTGCTGACAGCTCAGAGCCTGGAGCCTGTCATCGGATTCTGTGTCTCCCTCTCTCTCTCTGCCCCTCCCTTGCTCACGCTCTGTCTCTCTCTCTCTCTCTCTCAAAAATAAATAAACATTGAACCTGGAATTCAAAAACTTTGATCAGTGGTATGTCTGGAGCCCCCAGTGAGCCCTAGGTAAAAAAGAAAACCCCAAACAAAGCACCTCCCGTTACTAATCAGGCAGAAGATTTACAGAGACACAAAGAAGCCTGATGCAGGGCAGCTGTGGCTATCAGGTGTTCATTACGCCAAGGAGTATGATTGTGAGCAGTGGTCCTGACACTTAGTGAGTCACCT